CCCCGCCCCCCCCCCCCCCCGCTCAGCTGTGTGGTGTCCTTATGGTTTTGTCCTAATGAGGAAAAGAGCTGAAAGGTCATTGCTAGTTCCATGGTTGAATGCCTAGGAACCCCAGGGGATTCAGCAGAGTCTGGTCTAGACCACCGGTGAATCCAGACCTTCACTGACCCAAGAGTGTGCCTCTGCTTTCTGCACTCACCAGGCAATCTGAGTTGAGGGACAACTTCAGAGCTGGTGCGCAGGAGAGAGCTGGGTGACCACTACTGCAAGGAGGGTGAGTCTTCTCTTGAGTGCTGGCCTGCACACTGTATGCACACACTGCATGCAGACTGCCAGCCATAGGCAGAGAACCCAGGTGTTTCCTACAGGCAATTCCTAAGTTTAGGATTATAACTTAATCTGGATCAGGGACTAATCACACTGTTTATTGACTTGTTTATCTGGGGTATTTGGAGACTGTTGCCACCACGTTCTCTGAGCAACAAAGCACTTTGGGCAGCCACTTACCGGTTTCATGTCGTAGCAGGTGCTCTTTGCATAGGAATTGTTCATTGTTGCTTTGAGCAAGCCACGGGGGGTGGGGGACAATCCAGCCAGCAGAGGGGGTAGGGACTGGTATAATATGACCTATAGTCCTTCAGACCAGGAACATGAATGAGTTTCCTGGGATTAACTAACTAAAGTTTTTGCACTCCTATGAAAATATAAAAGCTGACTGTCAAACCATCTCCTGAGCTGGACATGGTGGTGCACACCTTTAAACTTAGCACTCGGGGGGCAAAGACACGTGGATCTCTGTGAGATCTAGGCCAGCCTAGTCTACATAGGAAATTCCAGGCCTGCTGTGGCTACTGGGAGACACTGTCTCAAACAAACAATAACAACAAAAAGTCCCCTGGCCATAGAGTTTCTTTCTGAATCAGCCGGAGCATGTAACTTGCTTCTCTAGCCTGAGGTAAAGAGAGACCTAGGGAAGTGTACCCCCAGCCAGTCTCCTGCAGGCAGCAGGGGATGGCTGACTTGGTGCCAGAATCTTGAAGAACTGGATAGAATGTGGTACCTTCCCATGGGTTCTGCTAGGCTAGGAACCAACCATCAGTTCTTGGCTAGAAGAAGGGCAGGCTTATTAAGGCAAAGACCATTGCCATCCCCCAATGACAATCACAAATTCTGTGTATGTTCACAGATACATGAAGACTCTGGAAACCTTGCTGGTTTCCAGAACTGAGCTACTGCAGGTCCACCTGCCTTCCAAGGCTTCATATTTCTTCTTCAGGCAGGGTCACCTCCTCCCCCTGTGCTCAACCACATGGAACACCTCCCTACAACACACACACACACACACACACACACACACACTCACACACTTTCACTCTCATAGCTGGAAGGACGTTTGCATTCTTCTCAATATTTTATCCCCTGGATACTAAACTGGGCACATAGAGCCACTTCCTCCTCTATATAGAGTTGTGTCTTCTTGTCTGAGCCTTATCTCCCAGCCACTTCCTGAATGACAGATGGGCAGGTGTCACAAACTCTCAGCATATCAAAGGCATTACAGAGCCCTGTACCACTCACAGCTGACCAGAGATGCCCCACCAAGCATAAAAATGCCACAGGCCAGCTGTGCATGCACTGACCTTTCACTCCCTGGGTTCAGTCAGGCCTTGCGTCTTCAGGACCTCTGTCCTCAGGATGAAACAGTAGTCTGAGAACTAACAATTAACACAATCACATGCACTAGGGGCTCAGAAAAAGCCTGTGGGAGAAAATTCCTGAGCTGGGTCTGAAAACAGCAGAAGCCCATTGGTTCAGGAGTCAGGGGTTGAGTAGAACTCGAAAGACCCAACAGCATAAAAGGAAACATCTACCCCTATCCCACATAGGCTTAAGATCGTCAGATTCCTCTCACCCCCGCCCCCCGCCAAGGACAGAGTCTGACACTTGCTGCATCACCTCTTCAATATTGTTCAAAGCCTCCAGTGCCTGCCTTGCCCCTCGGGAATCCTCCCCTCTATTCACTGCATGCCCCCCTTTTCATACCTTACCCAATCTAACTCCTCTGTGGTTCCGGAATGCTACCACAGCCTGACCTACCCTGCCAGCCCAGTGCTCTATCCAACCAATCTAGCTCATCTCTATACAGCCTCCACCCCTTCCTCCACCTACAGACTGTACAGCATCCCTCACTGACTTTTGGTGTGGTACCATACAGTGTAGTGGTTACTTCTCTGCACAGCTGCCTCCATCAACAGAAGCCCCTTGAGGCCACACATAATATCTTCCATGTCATCGGGGTTTAGATCACATCCCAGTCCAGGGCATATGTCTACAGAATGGGTCACAGGGCCTCTTGCACTTATGGGAGACTTCCTCATTACCCAACTCCCCAGTCCCCACTCCCTTAGGCAGATGCTCCCTTCTAGCGTGGTTTGCTCAGGGTGATATGTAGCTAAAGCACTCTTTCATTTCATGGCCTTGTCAGATGCCCACCAGGAGCTGCCTTCAACCACATTAATGTAACAATGGTATGCTTACCCAGCATGGTGTGAGCAACTTCTTGAATGTGTCCTCCTGCAGCTTTGTGAGAAGTAGCCCTGTGTCCATTTCACACATAAGCAACAGACTCAGAGATATTCAATGATGACAAGTTCATGGCCACACCACTGATAAATTTCAGAGCAAGGATTTAAAGCCAGGTCATTCGGTGATCCCTGAGGCTTTGAAAATCATTTTATAGTCCTTCCAGTCACAGTTATGAGAATAAAGGAAGATCTGCATTTGATGGAGTTATTGCTGACACTAAAAGTTAACGTTCAACCCTGGACAATGGTGCTTTTCTGCACAACAGTTTCCTGTTCTGACCACTGAGGCAAATACAGGACAGCTCTCAGGTGTACACATTTACAGCTCTCTGTGTAACAAGTCACTCAGTACTCTTGACTTCTTGAAGAGCTGGCTTATTTTCCTGTTGGGAGGAGCCTACTGTACGTATGAGATTTCTGGGGCTGGGATACTTGCCTATGGGGCAACGCCTCTCTCTGCCACTCTATAAATGTGGAGGCCAAAGGGAGGCCTTCTGTGGCACTGCTCCCTTCCCAGCCGTGAGACTTCAGTCACTCCACTATGAGGCTTCTAACCCTCTCCAGCTTGCTCTGCCTGCTTCTCCTCTGCTTTTGCATCCTCTCCTCAGAAGGTAAGGCTGTCCCCTGGCCTCTGGTCCCTGAGCAGTGATGTCATGGCTGAGGAAGTTTCCAAATCAGAACTGGTGGGAAACAGGTCTCAGCAGATAGTCCTGAGCTCTGTTCACCACAGCATCTAACAGGTAGCTTGAGGACTTCAGGCCTTATGACCTCTATGTACAGCCCAGCACCCCCAAATGCACAGAGGGCCCAGTATACTTATCATGCAAGCATGCAACCACTCAGCTAGCTGCTTACCTGAGTCGTTCCTGACTAGAAAGTCAAGAGGTGCTATACTGTCCCTTTCTTGTATTGTGCTTGAGACAAAGTAAATGAACAAATGAACAGTTGAGTCTCTCAAATACTCATGCACAGAAACCCTCGTGCACAGATGGATTGAGGGTGTGTGACAGGAGGCTGGGCCTGGGGGGGTACCTGTGTGTGTTCAGATGTAGGCAATAAGCATGATCATTTTACCTCTGTGGATATGAATAGCCCTGCGGCCTTTCTTTTTTCAAAATTCGTTTTTATTCTTATTTACGTGTATGCGTGTATGGGTCTGTGTGGGGGTATGCCACATGTGTGCAAGTACCCTCAAAGGCCAGAAAAGGATGTTGGATCCCCTGGGGCTGGAGTTACAGGTGGTAGTGAGCCCGCCAACATGGGTTCTGGGAGCCGAATTTGGGTCCTTCCCAATAATAGCAAGAGCTGTTTTCTGCTGAGCCATTTCCAGCCCCCTTTCGCCTTTCTTGATTCAGAGAGCTGAGTTTTGAGGCCTTTTCTCTTACCTAACCCTCCAGAAACGACCTATTGAAATATTTTTTTAATTTTTTTTATGAATATGAATGTATTGTCTGCGTGTATGTCATGTGATACCCCACAGAGGTCAGAAAAGGGCATCAGATCCCCTGGAACTGGAGTTACAGACAGTTGTTAGACATCATGTGGGTGCTGGGAACCAAACCCGGGTCCTCTGAAAGAGAAGCCAGTGCTCTTAAGGACGTATTTTTTGTATTATAGTTATGATTATTTTAACACTTATTGGACCTGGGAATATAAAACTATGATATTATTTATAATATTATAATATCATATTATAACAATTACAGTTTATTAAAATATAATATATAAAAGAGATAAAACACCCATCACTTCACGTCCAGTATTTAATTTATTCTTACAAGTCTTGCGTGTAGCATTTGTATTTTAATTGCTGTATCTTTATGTGTTCAGCATTGTGCTTTTTTTAAAATCACCATGCTATTTTAATTACCCAAAATTCTGATGCTTGAACTTATTCCTGTACAGTAGGGTTACAAGAAGCATTTTCTTGCTGAAGTCTCAGCGGTGAAAACACACCACCTGTGTAACTGGGATTCGAATTCTTCATAAGCACAGTCCACAGCATGCCATTTATCAGACTTCTATTTTTGGACAAGCTTGAGGTCACCAGTGTTACTTTAATGGCAAATCAATGGTGATGAATATCTTTTGCCGTAAAGCTTCCCACCCCTTTAGGACTGTCTCTGACAGATTCAGGATGTGGCATTATTCAACAAACATTTTCATGTCTAACTGGCCATCCAATGAGTGTACATTCATGCATTCATGTGCTTGGACACACTATATTCAATATATGGCAAAAAACAAAGCTTATGTGTACATACAGCGTTTCCTCTACTTTGGGTGTTTTTCTTAGACTAGATTGCCAAGGTTAGAGTTAACGTGTCCAAAGGCATTTCTCCCAAGGGCTGTGGCTTCAAACAGAAACACAGTATTCTATGGGCACAGCCACTGACTTTGTGGTTTCTGAAAAGTCACACAGCTTAGGTCACCTCTTCCCTCCCCTAGCCTGGTTCATTTCCCTTTTTTGTTATTGTTTGTTTTGTTTTGTTTTGTTGCTGTTGTTTAAACAAATATCATGAACCCTTGGTTTTGGGAATGGAAGCTCTTCCAAGCCATCCCTACACAGATCGGCCCCCAGTGGCCACAGCCCACTAAGGGAAGGTCTGCGCCCCTTTACTTCTCAGGGAGGAGGCGTCCTGCCAGGCCCTGGAGACTCAGGCCCTGCTGCCACGTGGCTCCTAGGCTCAAACCAACAACCCAGAAAGGTAAGTGCCTAGATTGGGACAGGGGAGGTTTCTGTGGTGGCCATGGGACAGGCCAGACCTGTGGTCAGCCCCAGCCTGTGCCTGGTGTCAAGCACTGGTACAAGGATTTCTGCCACACAGAGCTTAGAGTCCCCAAAGGGCAATAAGGTAGTCATTTCAAACCTAACACATCTTGTTAAGAAAAGGCAGGAGCAACTAAGAGGTACTATGGGGGCCAGGGACAGTGACACATTGTAATCCCAGAATTGAGTGGAGGGGTTGACACAGGAAGATTGTGAGCTTGAGGCCAGTTTGGGCTATACAATGAGTTTAAGGCCCACCTGAGGTACAGAGACCCTGTCTCAAAAAACCAAGGACTGAGGCTGTAGCTCAGTTAGTAAAAAGAGCTTGCCTAGAAAACTCAAGGCCCTGGGAGGGGAGGGGAGGGGAGGGGAGGGAAGAAGAGGGGGGAGACGTGGGGGAGCACACATCCCTGCGTAGGAGGCCTTATAGCAAAGATCAGGAGCCTGTATGAGGATGGTAGAGGATAGGAAGAGAGTTAGAGGAAACAGTAGGGGTGAAGGGCTAGGTTGGGCAAGCAGGAGAAACAGACAGAAGGGCTGCAGGATGGGAGGTTCTCAGAAAATCTGCAAACCATTGAGCATGTATGGACCTCAAGCAGGGCCTATACGGGTGGATAGTCAATGTGTATCGAATGTGAGTGTGGAAAGCTGCAGCTTGGTGGGGAACAAGGCAGCCCCAAAGATGTGGGCAGGAGCATTTAGGCTCAGTCTTGGCACCAGGCTGGGCTCCATGCTCAGCAGGAGGCGTGGAATAGAGTGAGGCTACCCTCTCCTAGGCCTGGGAGACGGGGCACTGGGCAGTGAGGAGGGCAGGCTCAGGTCCAGAACTACTAACTCCCAGCACTAGGGCTTCAGGCCAGGGGCAGAGTAAAGCATTAAGTTGCTGGTCGGAGGCAGGAGGTTATAGTGGCTGGGACCTCTATGACTTTGTTCAGAGAGTCCTAGAGCTCAGAGCAGATAGAGCCCTGTGAGAAGACTAGAGAAATTGTTCAGACATCCTGACACCAACTTAGGGCCTGTGCCTCAGCTCTCTGCAGCCCCAGGGCCATCTCTTGGGAGTCCAAGGCTGCGGCCCCTCTCCCTCCTCTAAGGTTGTGGCCCAAGAGCCATGACCAGCTGCTCCCAAGAGTCTTGTCCTACCGAGGGGAAGCTCCAGTGTTATTGAGGAAGAGGGGTAGAAGGAGGGGGACAGGCTGGTTCCAGCCTCGGGCCACTTGAGAGGCTGACAGCCCTTCCTCCACACTGCCATCACACCCAGCCAGGGCTGGGTAAAAATAACCAGTTTTCACACACACACAAACACATACCTTGTGAAATAACCGAGTGTGAGGCATCTGCCTGAGCAGGGTGGAGGGTAAGCACTGACTGCCTGCAGCTCTGGTCCCCACAGGCTTGTGGATAAGCAGCATGTGAAATGAGGTGCAAATCCAGGGGAGAGAGATGCCAGCTCCCCACCTAGAGTGGCCTGCTGGAACCTGACCTTGCCTCTAACTCCTCCCTGCACAGATGTGTAGGGCAGAAGAGAAGAGAAGCCGAGGGAAGAAGGGGTGCACACATTCACATTATACATTCACACTCACAGGCACACAGATGCATATGCAAATATACATGCATAAACACATACACACAATGTAACTACACACATACGCACCTGTAACTACACAGAGAAACACATACATGCCACACACATAGACAATGATATGTATTTTTACACTGATTAAAAAATATATTTCATACATACATCAGAGATACATATATACCACTCATTACATACACAAAACATATACACAAACACTATACACACAGACTCACACAAATACATGCAAACACATACATGCACAAACATATATAAACTGCACAACTACATATATACATAAACACACATATGCACAGATGCATGCCACACACAGAGTCAAGCATATAAATACACATGTGCACACTACAGACAGAGAGACATGAATAAACATATTCACCATACAATACATGCAACTCCTAGGAAATGTGGTCAGGTTCCTTTCCCCGTTGTGCACTAGAGAAGGGCATCCTTTATGGAGGAGAATGATCTAAACTAAGGTTCTATATTGAGACTGGATTTCTTTTTGAGTGTATATTTCAGACTTTCCATAGCAGAAATTTATAAACAACTTAGAACAAGAAGAATGAAACAAGTGTGTTCACTGGACCCTTACCACATGATCTCCTTAAAATCCTTGGATTCACCCTAGGGAAGACTTGCCACCATCATATAGATCTGGACATTGAGGTTCAGGGGACCTCTGAGGCAGTTAGAAATCAAGATCCATGGGCTTCACTGCTCTGCAGCAAACTGCTTCCTCCCTGGAGGGAAGTTTCCAGGATGCAAGGACAAGACTTCCTGGAGGGAAATTGCCAGTAGGGTGAGGTCTCCACTCTGTTCGCTGTGTGCTCCAGAGCAGATCACCAGGGTAGCTGATCCTCAGTCTCCTCCTCCCTAGAAAGGGTGTGACAGGAGGATCCATCTTGTGGTAGTGAGGAGTCAATAGGGTTTCATCCACAGAGCACTTAGCATTAGGCACCCTGTAACCACGCCTTCCTGTTGTCATGGAGGAGGCTGGGTTTCCAGAGCTGGATGAACAGTATGTATGTGTGTTTTTGTGTGCAGTTACCACTGTATATGCGTTCATGCATGTATGCATTTGCAAATGCATCTGTGTGCTTCTGTGTGTGTGTGTGTGTGTGTGTGTGTATACCCCTCTTCCCTCACCTTCTTTCTCTCTCCTAGCGTCACTGCTGTTGATTACCCAAGACCCACCCTAGAGTGCATGCATGCTTGCCCAGGCTTGGTGCTTCCAGCCATTATCTCCCAGTTCCAACCCTGAGATCCAGAGAAAAGGAAAGAAGATGAATCAGGGTGTTGGGTAACCAACAGAAGCATTTCAGGGTGTGTCACACTCCTTAAACCTAGCCTTGTATACTCAGTTCCCAAGCATGAGGTTACCTGTGCCACTTTCTCTGGGAAGAGAAATTAACACCAACTGGGACAACAGAGGCCCTCAAGCAGCTGCTGCTCAGCCTAAAGCCTGCAGCTAAGTGCTCTGCTGGGCCACAAGACAATTCTGATGTACAAGGTTAGAGATTCCAGGTTGAAATGACAAAGCCATCACACACATACACACACACGTTCCTCCATACATATGCCTACAGATACACCTCCACATAAACACACCTATACACACACAGCTGCATACATACATCTCCACAGACATATCTATACAGGCAAACACTGCACACACACACACACCTCCACACAACACACACACCTCCACACACCCCTTTACACACACCTCTATACACACACACATACACACACACACACACCTCCACACAACACACACACCTCCACACATCCCTTTACATACTCCTCTATACACACACACACACACACACCCCTCCACATGGGTTTTCATATCCAGTCAGGCCAGTTCAGATGTGCTCACATGGTGACTACAGGGTTTCACTTAGATGACTGGGAGCACAGAAAGCTTCTTTAGGTGGAGGCTCAGAACTGGCCCACTTTTGTTTCCATCCACCCCAAATTGTAGGTCAAGGCAAGTCACAAGGCCACTCAAATAGCAGGAGCAGGGAAACAGATCCCAAGTCTCCAGGGGAAGAAGTGGAGCTGTGGAGGATTACCATCAATTTACCATCAGTTGGCCACAGTATTGGTCATAGGAACTAAACTAGAAAGGACCAACTTGGGAATCTGAATGTGGGGCAGGGACAGATGGGGACAGTAGTCAGGAAATCATGGGCCTCCATCAAAAACTTCTGGTAGAAAATTCTTACATAAAAGTTAAGTTACACTATATTTTGCTATCATTATCACTATGGGAAAATAAAAGCACTTTCACATAGGAAGAAAAAAGTAATACGGATGTTAGTGCTTGTCTGTGATGAATGCATTAAGTTGGGATGAATTAGGGGAATTAAATTTGTTCTTTGTATGGTAGTGCTTATACAAAAATTACTAGATGCATTATTAATGTCTACTAACACGTTTAATCCTGACAGTAATTCTGAAATTAGATTCAATTACTGGCCCTTTTTTTCATAGATGAGTGGCCAAATCTCAAAAAAGTTTCAATTAATTTGTTGAAAGTCACATGGCTAGTAAGTGCTACAGGTCTTGAATCCAAATAATTCAGTTTCAGGTTCTATGTCATTAAGGTACAGAATAATATAGAATCAAGAGAGAAAAAATAGTCTCATTACCATAACTGAATAACTTTCTCCTTTCATTCATGTCCTTTTGTCTTCTCATACAAAAAAAAAAAAAAAAAAAAATTCCCACCCGGGGGTTTGGGGGGCGAACTT